CTTGGTTAAACCAGTTTATTCTTCCTCGATACAAACTTTTAGCACACAGTAGCCCCCCAGTGGAACAGCCGTATGTCTGCGGAATTACAACGTTAGAAACCGGGTTTCGATACCCGGGGTGGGTATTATTATTTGGCTTTCTTTAGGACACTTCTTATTCTTACTCCTCCGACTTTGTCGTGTGTCGCTACACTCTAATAAGAAGTCAATGCTTTCGTATTTTGACAATTGATCCTTAGCCTTGCTAATATTAGCGTTAAGCATCTGACTATTAGTCAGTGGGAAGGTATCATGTGTCTCAACTGTTGCACATAAGTTTGAAGGTTCATGTCCTTCAAAACTTAAGACCTCTGTTTCTATGCGTAGCTTACTTTGGGTAAGATATATTTCAGTGTCGTAAAGTCTAAAGAAATCTTGCCCTATAATATCATCTGTATCTAAGTCTATCTGCTTACAGATGTAAAATGAGTGGTTTAACTCTAAGTGTCCTACTCTCATTTGCATATTATATCTACCTAACGTTTTAACAGGGTGTCCTGTTATAGAAGTTAAAATACTTCTAGAAACTTCTTTTCAGGCATTATCTAATAATGGCGAGTTTCTGTCTACTAATTCTGAACTTAGTAGCGACGACTCTGTAAGCTCAAGCCTTTGGGGCTTTTCCGTTTTCGGCCTTCCGTGGGCATCGGCAATCTCGTGCCATGTGGCCTGTAATACCACAATTATAACACGCTATTTGATCGTTTCTTTTCTGCTTTTGAAAGCAGTTTCTTGCTTTGTGCCTAACTTTGCCACAGTTAAAGCACTGGAAACCATCGGGCTTACTCTGTGCATTATACAGATTAGCCTTGCTAGACTTGTTAACTGCATTTATAGCAGAATGTTTAGGCTTATAGATCTGCTTTTCTCGTAGCTACTTCAATTAAATCCAGTAAAGTTGCTTGAGGAGTAATTGCTTCATTTACATATCCTCTAGCTACATTACTGTATAGCCCTGTATATATATGCTGTATAGTTAATTTAAGAACTGTATAGAATATCATGTTAAATTTATCTATGTGAAAAGTGTATTAACGGAATTATAAGCATTTTTAACCAAATGTGAAAAACGTTTAAAGTTTGTTTTTGATAAACGAAATTATACTTTTAATGAAGTTGTTAAATGTTATTATAAGTGTTCACCATTGGCCTGAGACTCTATTTCTTTAGTCTAACTGTAAACTACCTTTAGTTAGCGACTTGTGGCTCCACTCGTCACGACAAATCCTCCATTAAAAAATTTGGTGCTACAAGTAGTTTTAATTGAAACTCCAACAATTAAGCCCACCAGGGCGCTACTCTTTACAGACGTTTTAGCTATACGATGTTGACCAGATACCATTTATCGATGTTGACTAGATACCGTTTTACTCTGTTGTAGTTACACAATGTTGACCATATACCGTTTCTCGATGTTTTAGTTACACAAAGTTAATCAGATACCGTTTCTCGATGTTTTAGTTACACGATGTTGACCATGTGCCGTTTCTCGATGTTGCACAGATCTATTGAAAACCGAGAGTCTATTTCTAAACAATTAATCTAATTAATCCTTATTCTCAGAAAGTTTTAAACTTTTATTTCGCGTATGACGAATTGAAAGACCTAAAAGTATTCTAAGGATTTGAAATCGAACTTTAAAACTAATCTTTAACAATATTAAGAGTGAGGCAAGTAATTATAGACAAATTAAGAGTTTATCGTTATCTGATATCTAATATATCAGATATAATATATCGTTATCTGATGATACCCTACTAGTTCTTGATATCAAACAAAATGGGCGTTTTTTTAAAACAAAAACAGAACAAAAGTAAACCAGCTTACAATACAGTGAACAAACTGTCAGATAGATTTAGCAAAGGTAAATATAAGATAAAAGCCCACCACAGATAGGATATTTATCCCATTCTTTGTTCTTGTAATCGTGCTAATATTGGTCAAACAAAACGACCTCCTTTAACGAGAGTGAATGAAAATGATGACCAATCAAAAAATTAATTTCGATCAATTAAAAACCGTTGTAGAACCAAACTTCTTCCATCAATGCAATACAAAAAAATCGATGGAAATATTTAAAAATAAAGAAAACATGATCAATAATCGAATAAGAAGTCCTAATTAGAAGTCGTTTTATTTTTTTCTAATTAGTTTTTGCGCTCTACTGCCATTACTCAACAGTGACTCTACTTGGGCCTTTCTTAGCGTTACAAGACATCAGACTTACTGTTCAACCACTACGGGGCACAAGACGCTTAGAACAGTATTTTATGCATTGTACAGAGTTGTTTAACAACAAGTAGTAAAGGCTTGAAATGGGCCAGACTAGTTTTTATGCGTTCTTCAAGAATGACAAGCTTGTACTAGTGGAGTTGTTTGTGTGTTTTGGTAATTCTTTCATCATTTCTGCATTATATTATACTGGTGTGTTTTTTTATGAGTAATGTAGTAATAGTGCAGCTCAACCCTGGAACATGGTTGTGCCCTCAAAATGCGCAGATTAAAAACATCAATAATCGCCACTAAGGGGATCTTACTAACGGGTTTAACTAGTAAACAATTTTACAGAAACAAACAGGTTTTTTTTAGGTCATGGTTATTTTTTTGATTAACTTTAACTTCACTGATAATGTGTCATTGACTTTTATATCAATTTGGAACCTATCCAACAAGGACAACCATGATAAGAAGAGATTCCTGACAGTAACCAGTTTTCTCGTGCCACTGCGCGAAGAGATTCCTGACAGTAACCAGTTTTCTCGTGCCACTGCGCAAGCCTCATTTACTAAAGTCTGGAAGTCACACTTGTTGTTGTTTTTAACTTGGCACAAGATCACCAAGCGAGACCTATAACACTAGCTATCTGTGTCAAGACATTATACAGGACTGTGCTGGTATTTAGTTGTAGTATTTATAACCTGTAAGACACACCGCTTCAAGTCAAGTAGATTTACCATTTTGTTGCTTAAAGAAATATTACCATTCCTATTGTTAATCATCCATCAATGAATCCTCACGAGGCGAGCACCTACTCACAGTTGAAGCTTGACGAACAAATAAAGCTCATTCAGAGAGTTTATTCAAGTCACGTGAACAAAATGACTTGGACAGACACGGAATACGTAGTTCTGGATATCGGTTGTGCTACTGGAGATGTAACTAAGGACATTTTACTCCCTTTATGTCCAGATTCGGTTTCTGAAATAATCGCTATCGACATTCTTCCAGAGATGATAAACTTCGCAGAAAATCACTACCCTCACCAGAAAATTAGGTACAAAACAGGAGATATTAAAGATAGGTAAGTTACTGATAATTCTAGCTGTGATTTAGGATTTCGATGAAGAAAGTTCTAAGTTGTTAGAAATTCAAGTGCATAAAAAAATAATCAATTTATAACCTAAGTTAACGTTAAAATTGGGCATTGATATCACATCTAAAAATTTCGTCACACAGCGTGCTTTGTTTTTATTAACACGTTACTCACGTATCTGTATAAGTCGTTAAAAAAGACTTAAGGCTCTTGATGCAAAAATAAATGCTTACATTAGCTAATGTAAAAAATCTTCATAGCCTTTCCCAGTAGTTCAGCAGTAAGTCTGAAGTCTTATAATGGTAAAAACCGGGTTTCAACTCCCGTGGTGGGCAGAGCACAGATAGCCCATTGTGTAGCTAATCCCGGTTTCTAGCGTTGTAAGTCCGCAGACTTACCGCTGTGTCACTAGAGTGCAAATTGTAATATTAAACATGATGCTTGTCGAACTTCGTGGATAAGATACCAAAACGATTGCATTACCTAATAAATGGATTTCTGGCGCGGATAAAGTCCCAATTTACTTTAATCGCATATATAAATCACTATAGATACTCTATCACCTACAGAATCATCCTATATGGCTTTTTAAAAATTGTTTATGTACCAAACTGCTTGTGGATCCATAACGTTTTAGGTTAAAATACCATCAATAGTGTAATTCATTTCAATAAACACCCTTGAAGATGTCTATGCATTTTATACAGAAGTGATCCGCCTCTGATTCGGGTGATAATACGTATAGATATTATGTTTTTAAATGTGTAAACAAATCTGTTTTTTTTTATTTATTTTCTACCAGCTGGAGTACTCGTCCCCTGGACGTAAGTTATATAAATTCATGATTAATGAAAGGTTATCTAAGGAATGAAAAGTTGCTTCCCTTATATGTAATTGTAAAAACGCTCATAGAAACTGCAAGTCACAAAATGTGAAACCGCAAGTGTACATGTATCTCCCCATGGACCCAAGAAACCTTCATGCCGAATTTGGTGAAGGTCCATCAAAAGGGGGCGAAGTAGTGTTAAAAAAACGCAAAAATGCCCATGCAAAACTGAAAATGTGTATGTACCCCAGCATTGACCCAATGAACCAATTTTGGTGCAGATCCATCCACACCCTGCGAAGTAGTTACATAAACATACAATAGACAGTACTAATCCATATAAATATAATATAATTCTGAATTGTATTCCCTTACATTTACTACATTCAGGGCACTGGTTTTAAAACAGAAGAGCAAGTTCCAGAAGACATTTTCTTCCTTCTCACTGAACATGATTTTTGACCACCAGCTTGTCCTTCAGAACGTGAATTATCTACTGTCCCCTGGCGGAGAATTTAGCTTTATTATCGTCGCCACGGGTCCGCAGTATAAGGCCTATGAAGAGCTTGCGAGGTCAACAACTTGGGAACCTTATATGAAGGTTTGAAACCGCTTAATTTCCATTTTTAGCAATAAATATTTAATAATAATTATGAAGGAGAAAATGTTAGTTAAATACTGCCTTTTTCCACTGCACGATGTATGAACTGCTAAATAATAATATTTGGACTTACAACTTGATTGGTTTGTTTTGAATTTCGCGCAAAGATACACGAGGGCTATGTGTGCCAGCTGTCCCTAATTTTGCAGTGTAAGACTAGAGGGAAGGCAGCTAGTCATCACCACCCACCGCCAACTCTTGGGCTACTCTTTTACCAACGGATAGTGGGATTGACCGTCACATTATAACACCCCCACGGCTGAAAGGGCGAGCATGTTTGGTGTGACAGGGATTCGAACCCGCGACCCTCAGATTCCGAGTCGAGCGCCCTAACCACCTGGCCATGCCCGGGCTAAATTAGAGGGAAGGCAGCTAGTGAACACCACCCACAGCCAATTCTTGGACAAATCTTTACCAACGAATAATTGGATTGACCGTCACATTATAACGTCCCCACGGCTGAACGAAAGGGTGAGCATGTTCGGTGTGACGAGGATTCGAACCCGCGACCATCAGATTACGAGTCGAGCGCTTTAATCGCCAGGCCCTTTCAGCATGAACAACATCTCATGCAATACATGGCTAAACGACCTTTAAAATTCATGAAAAAGCCACTCTAATTTAAAACTGTTGACCAAAGGGACCAGCCAATCAGCAACACCCACCACCAACACGGCTACTCTTAATCAAATATCAGACATGGCAGTCACTTTCACAAAGTAAGCACAGCTGAAAGTGCAGAATAAGTTCACTGGCACACCGTGGGCTCAAACCTTGAACCTTCAGTTCGACAGCCCAGCATATTAATCATGTGATATATGAACATGTCATGTACCTTTCCACTATCTTTAGCAATACAGAAACTTCTCCTTTCTGTTTTTGTCGCTCTCACGTCTGGTTGGTAAAAGAGTAGCCCAAGAGTTGGCGGTGGGTGTTGTTGTCTAGCTGCTTTTTCTCTAGTCTATCATTGTTAAATTAGGAACGGCTGACGCAGATGACCCTCGAGTAGCTTTATGCGAAATTAAAAAATAACAAACAAACATTAGGCCTAGCGTGGGGCGTTATAATGTATCGGACAATTCCATTATTCGTTGGTAAAAGAGTAACCAAAGAGTTGGTGGTGGATGATGTTGACTAGCTGCATCCCCTTTAATCTATCACTGTTAAATTTGGGAAGGCTATCACAGATAGCTCGGCCCGGCATGGCCAGGTGGTTAAGGCACTCGACTCGCAATCTGAGGGTCGCGGGTTCGAATCCCTGTCACACCAAACATGCTCGCCCTTTCAGCCGTGGGGGTGTTATAATGTGACGGTCAATCCCACTATTCGTTGGTAAAAGAGTAGCCCAAAAGATGGCGGTGGGTGGTGATGACTAGCTGCCTTCCCTCTAGTCTTACACTGCTAAATTAGGGACGGCTAGCGCAGATAGCCCTCGTGTAGCTTTGAGCAAAATTCAAAAACAAACAAACACAGATAGCTCTCGTGCATATTTACGCGAAATTCAAACCCAAAGTCTTCAACTATAAAATCACGTGTAACAAATAACTCTAATTTACCACCGAATTAAACTCATTTTAAGTTTATCGTGATAAGATAAAACTTCGAATTGAAGGGAGTTTATTAATAAGTAGGTTGAAACCGAAATTGAATAAAGTCATTGAACTACTGCGGTTAGTCTGAGGATTTACAGAGCTAAAACTCGGGATTCGATATCCGCAGTGGAAACAACACATATAGTTCCGTTGTGAAACTTTGTGCTTATCTACGGACTTATAACCCCAAAACCCGGGGTTCGATTCCCTGTGGTAGACACAGCAGATAGTCCATTATGTAGTGCTGTACTTAATAAGAAACAAACAAGCCCTCTGTACCCTCTACTATCCTGCCATCTGATTATCCAGTTGCTTGGGGTCTCGGTACTTGCTAAAGGTCCGCCTATAATAAAATATTAAGTTCAATATTTCCTATTTAAAATTTATGCCATTAGATACAACAAAAGAATCATCCCGATAATGACCAATCACAGTCCTTAAGTTTGACCTGGTGAGCTAGAAAAAAGGCAGATAGTCAACAGTACCTACTGCCAACTCTTGAGCATTCTTAGTGGAACCACTTACCCAAAGTGCGGAGCGTGTTTTTACTGCAGAGGGACACGCAAAAGGTATCACAGGTTTCAAAGTCCGGGCACGCTGACGAATTGGGATTTTTGGGGGGAGGCTAAAATAATGGGATTTGTTTTTTTTGGGGGGGGTGAGGCTAAAATAAACAATTTAAACCATTTTCTTACTTAGTTTATTGACTTGAAATTTATTCACTGTATATTTTCAGGATTGGAAGAACTTCATCACTCCCATGCACTACTGGCAAGAAATCGAAACCGAATACAAAACACTTGCCTCTAAATGCGGATTTGCAATCAACGACATATCGGTGGAGTCTCTGACGTTCGGATTCCCTGGCCCGAGCAAATTCAAAAGTAAGAGTATTTTCTTTTTCAGTAGCCCTAATCCGCCATTTCTGACAAAATTACCTACAGTAATGCGCCATTTAAATTTAGAAACAATTATCCGTCGTGTGTCGCTCCAGTACTGTGTTTATTTGTTTCCCCAAAAGGGGCCAAAGGCCACCTAGAGGGTCCACCTGTTTTAACTACTCATACCACTGTAAAGTAGTGTGTTATCTATCAGTCAGCAGTCAGTAGACGCTAAAATGACTTCACATAAGGGACGCTTAACATTGCAATTTCTATTGTCGTGACGTCAGTAAAACCTGCGCAAGCCATGAATCACGAGAAGAATTATGCACTCTGTAGGTTACAACACAACATTACAAGTAAATCTGAAAAGTAAGAATTAAGAATATATGATACTTTTAATTTTGGTTTTATTTACGCTTAAAACAGAACATTTTCGAGAACCCTGCGGAAGTACATCTAGTATGTAACTGTTCTATGATTCAACTTTTACCAATAGCTAGAAGACGTTTGGAGGTTTTATTGTCAATTTGTGATCATACAGCTTGAGGTTCTCTACATTGCAGACAGATGTCTCACTCTCATCATTTGGTCTCCACGTGTGTACGTGAAGGTGTTAAATTCAAACACTGGAAGACAGCATCGTTTTGTGACTTCGCGCTTTGGACTCGTAGTTGGATGATTGTGAGTTCGAGGCTGGTACGTGTTTTCGTGTCCTCCAGCAAAAACTTTACCCAGCTGTTATCCAGGGGTACGTGCTGTTGACATCCCGTGTAAGCTGTTAGCCAGGGGTTGACATCCCGTACACGGAGAATGTGTCACCATACTCATCCGGATCCACAAAATGTATATATATATATATATATATAACAAAAATACTGGTGAATAATTAATAGGGTGATTGTGAATCGGGTTAAACCAGACATCATTATTATTGTTATTTCGAGAGAAACTGAATTCCGTGTATCTTGTCGATAGGTGGATGTACCATACCAATCGCTCCTACGTTCATTATTTGCTTTTTGTTAAAGACGAAGCTACAAAATTGGCTATCTATGCTGAGACTATCGCAGGAATCGAACACAAAATTTAACCGTCATAAGCCCTCGACCTTAAGTGCTGAGCCACCAGAGGGCTTCTAGTTTCCCATATTACCATTATTAGTTATTGCTTTTTTGTTATTGTTGTTAATCACAAAACTGCTAAATGGGCTATCTGTGCTGTGCCCACAACGAGTATCAAAACCCGTTTTTTTGCGGTATGAGCCATCAGACTTAGTGCTGAAATACTGGTAGAGGCTATTACCATGAAGACTCATCCTTATCTAAGGAAATTTTCTTTATAAATCTGAAATTAATTGATTTTATTATTGCTTGTTTTTCTGCTCAATTATGGGCTCAGGATATGCCCACCTGTTACAGTAATGGAATTACTCTGTTATCTTAACACTTACTGAGATAAGCCGCACGTAGATGAAACCAATTTCTTTACAAAAACATTTTGTCCCACTCGGTGCTATTTTTTAGGCCTTCAATAACGAATATCAAGATGTCTCTGAACTGTAAATTTTCATCCTAGTGTTCATAAAATCAACTATTTTCACTTTATTTACACAATCGGGAATTGATACACACACATTTCGTTCGTTTTGTCTATTTTTTAAAATGAGTATTAGATGTCTATTAACTAGTGAAGCGTGATCTTGAAGTTTACAAAAAAAAAAGGATTCACATTCTCTTTGTTTTAAAAATAAATAATTGAAATACATTGCTTCATTTCTTTTGTTATCTGTAGTATTCAAATGAATATTAAAATTTTAAGTTTGGTTGGTTTGTTTTGAACTTCGCGCAAAGCTAAACGAGGGCTATCTGCGCTAGCCGTCCATAATTTAGCCGTGTAAGACTAGAGGGAAG